CCCCGGGCAGTGCCACTGACTGGGGTGTCTTTAGGCCATATCCCAATGGAGGATATTAACATGTTCTTATGCACAGTAAAATTGTAAATGGGCTGATTTATCTATGTCATGCTCATACTGTGCCGGAACAACATAGGGGGAGCTGCTGCTTCTTCTTTCTTCTTCTTTATTGTCGTCATTTATCCTCTACTTCTTTTGTTTGTTTGTTTCTCTCTTGTGAATTGCTATTTTCCGGGGTGCCTTGATAGTCGAAGTAGACTTTATGCTGTTGAGGCTAGAGAGGTGACCTGAGTAAGCCTGATTCCCTGTTTGGACTTCTCTGTTGACACCCACCCCTTGGCGCTCATATGACCTTATGCATGACCTTATGCAGTTACGAGCGCCGTAAAACCTTACTAAAACAATATGATTCCAAATGACAGAATTGATGACTAGGGTTTGACCTTCTGTTGAAGAGTTTCTCAGCTAAGAATTATGTTTCAAGAGTGTTAACAGTTCGTGAACCCATTCTGTTGAATCCAGGCATTGTTAATTCTCTTATAATTAACATTTCAATTGTAAAGTGTATATATTTTACGCCTACATCGGTGCTATTTAGATATAAGGAGGCGGGTTTCTTCTATTTCACTTGTCATAGGCAAATCGTGCTGAGAGGGATACTCTCTTTTTTAGCAGACAGACGACGAACATACTCGATAAAATACCTTGTCTTTACGGGATTCAAACTCACGTCTTCTGTGTTCGGCGGCGGGGGAAAAGGGGGGAGGGTATTGTTACACCACAGACGCTGATGGTGATAAAAATACCAATTCTAATATTTCATTCAAGTTTTTTTGAGTTATTATGGCTTTTAAAAGCAACTGTGGACTTTAGGACAATGGATACTGAGACCAACTCTCCACACAAGCGGATAGCAACAGAAAGTAGTAGTTTGACCCAGTTTGACGTAACACGGAAATGGGGGGGGATAATAATCTAGAATGGGGTGGGGGTGTAATGCAAAAAGTAAATTGATCGTTTTTTAGGACAAGCAGGCTAACCCAGATTTCAGGGGTTTCCAGAAATCTTGACCTTCACCAAAAGTGGGCATTGCCCTACCTATAGGAGAAGTCTGGTTTAGTTGGTGTGTGTATGTGTTTGGCTTTAGAGAAAACTCTCCTTGTCTCTTAAAGAAACTGAACAAGGGGCAAAAACTTTACTTTCGATTTTCTCAAAACAGCACTTTTCGGGATAGCCCCCTTGTGCTTAAAAGCGACCAATTATGATCGCCGATTCTTTGAAATAAGTCAATTTAGCGCGTGGCGTCACGGCGATTCACTTGGGTCAAAAGAGAGTGGAGATTCCGGATGTACGAACCAGGTCAAGTAAGTTCCGAACGGAAAACTAAAGTTTACTTTCCCTCCAGAGGAAACAATTTATGATAAAAGATGTCTACGCAATATGAATTTGTTTTAATCAGATCAATTAAAAATTCGGCATGGATGCCGTGCTGCGGGTGGTTGGCGGGTGCTCTGGTATGGTTTTCTCCTTCTTTCCTACCAAAATTCTATCGTCTTTATCTCCCTTCCTTCTTTTTTATGTTTGTTACTCTCTTGTAACACCTCTAATCTTCGGCATTTAAATGACCTTATTTTGTTGCAAGTGCTGTAAAACACTTACTAAAACTAAAACGATGCCGTACTGGTGTTATGCTGAGAAGTCTTAGTCCTAGCGAACATTAACTTGTCGCATCCAATAGATGCATAATTATGTGATCACGTGAACAAATAAATTCTAATCTTATTCTTCATTCACGTAGTCTTCTTTTTTTAGGAGTTCTGTAACTTCTTCCTTTGCTGCCCAGTTCATGAACAGCAGTATGAATTGTACCTGGAGTAAAGTGTGACAGGTTTTACGCCTCTTTCAAGTCAATACGTAATTCTGGAGCCAGGTAAAACCAGATATAACGGCCATCGTAATACAGATAAATGAGTGGGTCAACGTGAATTTGTCCTTGAGTTTTCTAGAATGTTAAAGTTTATAACCCCCTCCCCAGTTTAAAAATTGAAAAAATCACCAACCCAATCATTATATTAAACTGTTTTTCTATTTTTACTCCTCTCCTCCCCCTTCCCACCCCACCCCCTTTCCCCCGCCCCAAACCTGCTCCCGTCACCCATTCTCCTGCATTCCAAACACATGACAAAGGCTGTTAAGTGTGGTCCTGCTCGCTGTATTTGCTGCAATAACTATGTTAAAGCCTTGGAGACCACAAAGACCGTTCCGTCCGTTCTATGTTAACCTTACGAGGACGCAAGCTTACCGTCACAGCTGGACATCTACGCCACTTTGGTGATGAGTTCACAGGTGCCAAACTACAGCTAATGTTTTGAGTTGGTATAGGTCTAACTAGCTTTTTAACCTGATGATGATGATGATGATGATGAAGAGGAGGAGGAGGAGGAGGTGCTATCACTTTCAAAGCCTA